CAACAACAACAACAACAACAACAACAACAACAACAACAACAACAACAACAACAACAACAACAACAACAACAACAACAACAGCACACCACCGTCACTTACGCTTTGAGAAAGAACATGAGGTAGAGAATCTTGGGCAGGATGACAAAGTTCTGGTTGCACAGGACCGCCTGGACAGTCTTCGTGGCCACATACTGGGGGTCAAGGATTGACAGCAGGAGCGGGAACCTGGGCAGATATGACAGCATTGTTATTGTAGGTGGATATATCGTCATAGTTAGTGTAGGCGGATATTACGTCATTATCATTGAAGGTAGGTATTACGTCATTGTTATTATAGGTTGATATTACGTCATTGTTATAGTAGGTGGATATTACGCCATTGGTGGATATTGCATAATTGTTATTGTAGATGGATATTACATCATTGTTATTGTAGATGGATATTATATATTGTAGATGGATATTTGGATATTACGCCATTGCTATTGCAGATGTTTTACACTTCTTTCCACACATGGTCGCTTTTAAGCACAAGGGGGCTATCCCGAGAACTGTTGTTTTGAGAAAATCGAAGGTAAAGTTTTTGCCCCTTGTTCAGTTTGTTTTTTTTAATACAAGGAAAGTATTCTCTATATCCAAACAAATATACACACCAATGAACCTAACTTCTCCTATAGGTAGAAAAAAGTCCACTTTGGTGTTGGTCAAGATTTCTGGAAACCCATGAAATCTGGGATAGCCCTTTTGTTCTTAAAAGTGACATTTTAGGTTATAATAATGTAGATGGGTCATTGTTATTATAGATGTTTAACCTCCCGTCCACACATTTTAGATTACAATGCAATGTAATGGGGGTGGTTCATTGTTATTTTAGATGTTTAACCTCCCGTCCACACATTTTAGATTACAATGCAATGTAATGGGGGTGGTTCATTGTTATTTTAGATGTTTAACCTCCCGTCCACACATTTTAGATTACAATGCAATGTAATGGGGGTGGCTCATTGTTATTGTAGATGTTTGCCTTCCTTTCCAACAATAAACAAACAAAAAACCCAAACAAACAACCATCAAACAAAAGCAAACCCTCCAACCAACAAACAAACAATAAAATTAAAACTAAAACTACCTAGAAGAGCACTCCTCAAACATCCTCGTGTCCATGAGACAGTTAAGACAAAAATCCCCCCCCCCCCAATCCCAAAACAACAAACAAACAAACAAACAAACAAACAAGCAATCCAACCCACCAGCCAACAAACAAACGTAACTACACATTGACAAATCTGTCTCAGTGTCTGCCCCGGTCAATACCAGTAGTACGACGCAATGTGCTATTATAAGGTACGAGGCTCGAAAGGCAAAAATGTGACATTCTATGCAATTTGTTTGTTGTTGTTCTATTGAAAGTTTGATATCTTCTGCTTTATTTAAAATCAAAATAAACATCTATAATCGACTATAAATATTTTATTTTGAATTATTTTGGAGGTAGGTGCGGTTAGTTGTGAGCTTGCGTAATGAGATTAAGGAGCCCATTTTCTCCTTTTCGTGTTTCCGCACCTTGCCCTCTTAAAAGTTCCTTATATTCGTCTAATATTGTTCGATTTACTTCTTTTTTCTTAAAATTGTAGGAAAATGGGGATAGTTTTTGTAAATAATGTCAACCTAATTTTGAAATCTCCTTCATATGACTGATTTTGACCGGGAGGTTCACATATTATGTACCTGGAAGAGCATCCCTCAAACATGCCCGTGTCCATGAGGTAAGGGCAGATCACCGTGGTCTGCACGCCGTCCTTCCCCGCCTTGTGCAGCTCCATCTCCAGGGACTCGCTCAGACCCACAGCGGCGAACTTGGAGGAGCAGTAGTCGGCCATACCTGGCCAGTGTGTGT